TTGTTGTTGTTCCTCGAATGCCTTCAGGGCACTTTTGGCCAGTGGGAGAGTTGTGAGGTTCAAACTCCAGCAACCTGAGGCTGACAGCTTTGGGGAAGCAGCCACTTAAAGGACTGAGCTAGGGCCAGGCCCCCTAGAGTGTATTTTAATATGTGCATATGTGTGTGTTTGTGTACATCAGTCTGTATTTTTTTTACTCTTGGCTGGAGTTGTGTTGTTTCTGGAGTAAAGTGTGATCTTTTCCTAGAGCGCCCCATACCCTTCGACCACATGATGTACGAGCACCTGCAGAAGTGGGGGCCTCGAAGGGAAGAAGTGAAGTTTTTTCTTCGACATGAGGATTCTCCAACTGAGAGCAGTGAGCAAGGTAGACAAATGCCTTCTTGTTTATAAATGATTACTATGCGAGCTAATTTAAGAAAAATTGGAAAATTACCAAAGTAACTGATTCACATGTTCTTTCCCCTTTGTTCACCAGTGGTGAGAAGAGAGTTGTTATTTGTGGTTCTTGGACTCTGTTCCTGTGGTTTGGGTTCTGGTCTGCTCTTCAGGCACCAGCCCTTGGCTTACTTCTCAGACAATATACTCAGACATATTAAAAGACTTGTTCTGTAAAGAGATTGTTTCTGATAAGTACTGAATGGGTCAAATGTCTATATTTTGTGGTAAATACAACCATAATGTTAAATGAAATAAATCACACACATATAAGTTTAAATAGCACAGTTTCTAGCTAGGTGTGGTACAGGCCTGCAATTCCAACGCTCGAGAGGCTAAGACAGGAGGATCGTTTGAGTTCAAGGCCAGCCTGAATGAAAGCAAGCAAGTAAACAAACAAGCAGCCCAGAGAAAGTATGTAGGAAGGAACATGGAGGGCAGACGAGATGCGAGGGAAAGAGCTGTGGGAGGTGGAGATGGCTCCTTCACATGGCAAAGAGGATGAGAAAGGCCACCATCGGGCAGAACAGCCCCACGGCCTCCACAAGGCCAGGCCCAAGAGCAGCATGGGAGAAGAGCTGTTGCTTCAGAGAAGGGCTCCTGGCATAAGCAGGGCGAGGCTTCCAAGCACAGTGCCATCCAAGCCTGAGCCAGCCACCCCAGCTGCGACAGCACCGCCCCAGCGAGCGAGGCTGTGGCTGCTGTGTCGATCAAGGTCCCTTGAAATGAAGCTGATCTGAAGCTGCAGCTTGGCACGAGTGCGGTCAGGGCACGTGGGGCTGCAGAGCTGCGGAGGCTCTCGCCTGCCTGTGTCTGAGCCTGTGCGGTGCTGCTCCGGATAGTGGTTGCTCAGCGTCTGGGAGGCGCTCCTGTCCAAGGTCAGGGTGGAGGTCGGTCTGGGGCAGGCAACGTTTTCAAGGGGTGAGAGGCCACGGCAGGAGAGCTGTTCCCAGAGCAGAGATGGCATAGAGTTGGTTTTATTTACTTCCTTGTTTATTTGAGATAGGGTCCCACTATGTAGTACAGGCCGCCTTTGAATACACGTATGTGGCCAAGGATGGCCTCAAACTTACAGTGATCCTCCTGGCTCAGTCTCCTGTGTCCTGGGATTCCAGGCATGTGCCGTCATGCCCACTGCATTTTGTAAACTGCATTAAGTCTTGAATTTTGTATCTTGGCATTTTACACTGTGTTCAATAAATGTTTGAGTGACAAAGTATGGAAGAATTGTCTTTTGTAATATGATTTTTAGTAAGTTTGGTCCTTTTATTTTTTTTAGGTGGCCGCCAAGCTCAAGAGCAAAGAACACAGAGAAATGTAATAAATGTACCTGGAGAAAAACGTACTGAAAATGGGGTAAGTCATGGCGAACTAAATGAATTTCCAAAATGGGGTAAGTCATGGCGAACTAAATTGGATTTTTAAAATTCTCTTTATAGGCTGGGGAGATAGCTTGGTGCTCTAAACGTCTGCCTGACAAACACAAGGAACTGGGTTTGATCCCAGTACCACATGCTGTGCCAGCCCAGAACCCTGAGTATGCTATGCCAGCCACCGAAACCAGGCATGATGGCGCATGCTTATAATCCCAGCACTGGGAGGCTGAGACAGGAAGATCACTATGAGTCTGAGCTGTATAGCGAGACCCTGTACCAAATACATAAATAAATAAAAGATTTTAAAAATAATAATAAACTTCCTTTTATAGGAACTGATGTGCTGTGGTGCCAGGGCTTTGTACATCATAGACAAGCTCTACCACTGGTTACATTTTCAGTCCTGGAAACTAAAGAGTTTTCGGTTATCATTTATTTTTAAAGAATTATTTTACGGGTAGAAGTTGACTTTCTACTGAGTGTTTCAAAACATTTTATGAAGTTATAAAAAGCAGCCCCTGAGTGCTGTTGCCAGTCCTCACTGGCTCGTGAGCAGATGGAGCCTCCATCTGTGAGGGCTGTCCGCCCGCCTGCCGCTCTGTCCTAGAGTGGGGACCTGAAGTCCCATCTTGGTTACGCTCTTCTCACTTGCCAAGTGTGGTGTCTTGTGAGCATCTGAGTAGCAGAGCAGCTCTGTGGCTCCTTTGCTGCTGTGTGGCAGAGCTGGCCAGCGGGCCAGACGCTGGTTATTGGTAAGGAAGAGGGCAAGGGCTTCCTTCAAGGCATGCTGATGTGCACTGAAAGAATGAATACACTGAATAGGGAAGCTTGCAACCTGGTCTTTTCTGGATTTTTTTTTTTTTGTATTTTAGGAAAGGGTGTACAGGGTATTCAGGGTCTCACTACTAGATCGGACTCGTAGTGATCTGCCTGTTTATAGCCTCCCAAGAGCGGGATTACAAGCACGCGCCACCACGCCCAGTCTCTCTGGAAATTTCAGTAATAACTTTTCAAAATAATTTTAAGACTAGATAATTATTTGGAGGGCTGGCCAAATAGCCCAGTGGATTAAAGCACCTGCAAAAAAAAAAAAAAATGTCATAGGACTCCTGTTACAGTTCTGTATATGGTTAGGTTTCTAAATTTTGGTATAAAAATATGTAATTGTTTATGCCTATTTTTTTAAATTATTTTTTTCTTCATATTCTGTAAGGACTTAAAGTCCAACATATCAATACTTGATGGAAAATACCTGTTCCACGTTATACCTAAGATGTTTGATATTTAGACAGATAGGGTAAATGAACTGCATATGTTGCAGGGTAATAGTAAGCTTCTCTTCTGGAGGGTTAACAACCTAAGTTAGCAGATCAAAAATGGGAGAAAAGGAAGGGCTGCAAGGTCAGCCAACACTTTGGCCCTAGCCTTTCAAGGTCAGTGAAGACTCGGGACATAGGAGAACCTGTACTGTAACATCATGTAACTCAGTTGTGTCCCAAATTTTCTGATCAAGGAGATTATGGAGCCACAGAGGAGTGTGATCAATGATGTATAGTGTGCCTGGGGAAAGTCACATGGAGAGAAAACATTCTCTCAGGCTTTTCACAGAGATCAAATTGGTCAAGCAATGGCCGTGACTCATCCTCATGGCTGACACTGACAGAGGATCTACAAAGTGCAGTACAAGGCTACAGGATAAATCCTGAGGGGACTTGACTGACCTTATCAGATGCAAAAGTTACATTTCTTTTTTTTTTTTTTTTAATTTTATTTATGTGTGGGGGGGGGGCAGCTCAGCCCACCAGGGGGTGGGGCTGGCTGGCGTGTGGTGCTGGGGAATTGAACCGTGGTCCCTGTGCTTTGCTCAGCTTGTTCTAAGTAGGTGCTTTAGACCACTGAGCCATCTCACCAGCCCCAGAAGTTACATTTCTTGTCATATAGATCTGACTTTGTCTTGGTCTTAACCATCCAGCAGTAAAGTATAAAAACAAGGTATATAAAATAAACCTATATTAATACAATGAGCTATAAAAGGCTCAAGTTGGGTCCGGGGAGATAGCTCAGTGGAGTAAGCACTTCCCCGGCAAGTGCAAGGGCCTGAGTTCAATCCCCGGTTCCGCAAAAAAAAGGCTCAAGTCAATAACTTCTGAGGATAACCCATTACTATTATGGACTGCTGGACAGTGTTGGATTGTTTTGCTGAATTCAAGTACCTGTAGTATTTAGATGCCAATAGAATACCCACCTCTGACAGGACTAAACAAAAAAAAAAGGGATACAAAGGAAGGACCATTTTGTATCTGTATATACAAAATAGGATAGATGTACAGCTACTTCCGCTTCATTCAATGAGAAGAAAGATTTGTACTAATAGTATTTGAACAGGATATCATGTCTGCTTCTTGTACTATGGATAACCACTAAGAAGATAACAATGTACAATGTATTAATTATTGAAACTATCCTATTAATCAGCAAAAAAAATAAAAATAAAATAAATAAATAAAAAGCTGGGGCCGGGGAGATGGCTCAGCAGAATAAGTGCTTCCCTGGCAAGTGCCAGGGCCTGAGTTCAATCTCTGGTTCCGCAAAAAAAAAAAAAAGCAGGCGCAGAGGCTGGGGGTTTGATCCCTGGGGCCTGCTGTGCTGGCCCCGCCCCTGGGGTGTGCTGAGATGGCAATTGAGACTTGCCTGTAATCCCAGCACTTAGGAGGCAGTAAACAGGAGAATCACTACGTGTCTGTGATGTAGTAGTGAGACCCTGAACACCCTGTAGACTCTTCCCTAAAATACGAGAGAGAGAGAGAGAGAGAGAGAGAGAGAGAGAGAGAGAGAGAGAGAGAGAATTAGTTGGCTTGTTTCTCTAGCTGTGCCATTAAGTAGGTGTATAGTTGTGTAGAGTTGAGAATAGTGCTTCCCAGCCCAGTGCTTAGCCCAGGAGGTGCTCATATACATAGGGAGTCTACAGGTCATGGCATCTAAGCTGTCTCACTTGCTACATTTGAGCAAGTACTGAATTGCGTGTGTGTGTGTATGTGTGTGTGTGTGTGGCCAGCTCAGCCTGCCCTGGGGGTGAGGCTGGCGCAGCATGTGGTGCTGGGGATTGAACCAGGGTCCCTGAGCTTGCCTGAGCTTGCCTGAGCAAGTGCTTTATACCGCTGAGCTATCTCGCCAGCCCCTCTATTGATTCTTTTGGTTTTTAAAATTTTTTTATATATTTAGTACAGGGCCTACAGGGTTTCACTAGTCAGATTGGACTCATAGTGATCCTCCTGTTTTCAGCCTCCCAAGCACTGGGATTACAAGCGTGCGCCACCACACCTGATCTCTGCCAGTCTCAATCATGTCTCAGAGCATGCCAGAGGTGGGGCTGGCATGGCATCTTGGTCCTTGCGCCTGCCTAAGCGGCACTTTAATCCACTGAGCTATCTGGTCAGCCCTTGATTCTTTTATTGACCACTGTGTGACTCTAAATGATGTACAGATTGAAGACTCCTTTTCCAAAATGCTTGGAACCAAAAGCATTTCAGATTTTGGAACATTTTCAGACTTTATTGGTTGAGCACTACCAATCCAAAAATCAAGTCAGTACTTACAAAGTTGTGTTTGGATTTGGGAGATTTAACCTGCCTTAAGTCTCTGTTTCTTGTACTGTCCGGTTTGCTCAGAATCTCTAGATGTCCCTCTTTGTAATGTAAGGATATTGATCCCTCACCTGTTTCTCCATCTTCCTACTTTCCATCTTTTCTACTTGTAGCAGACTTGTATATTGTGAAGGTTGACAATATTTATATGCTATTATCTTAACTATAACCAAGCCTTTTATACCTTGTCTATAGATTTTTACTTAGTAGTTGTTTTAGATGTTGCAGTTATCCACTGCAGAGCCATGTAGTGTACCTGATTATATTTTCTTCTCTTTGGTTTCAGTATCATCATCTTTCTGCCATTCAGAAATATTCCTGAAGTCAAGATTATAAATTATTTTCCTTTATATCCCATTTTCTAAAGATCATTGCACAAATCAGTATCTCATTCCTGCCACCTAAAATACTTGTTCCACTGCAAGTCTGGAGCCCACTAGGGTAGATGGTAGGCTTATCTGCTTCAGGAAGTCTTAAGGTGGGGACACTGTGGAGCCTGGGGTTCAGGGAGGTGTCTGGGATGCCTCCATGCGACTGTGCTGCCTGCCAGCTTTGGCACCTCCAGGTGGCAGGTACACGTAAGAGTAAACTTTCAGAACTTACTTGTCCAGAAGAACTTGGAAGTCCCTTTAAGGTCAGAGATCCAGCATAATGATCTGGGACAGTGACAGAAAGTCTGTTGGCAGGGGCCAGGGTGCGTTGGCCTGGGCTTGTGTTCTTACGCTGTGTGGCGGCCGCACAAGGAGAGGCTCCCACAGTGTCTTCTACGAGAGGCTGATTTTGATGGGTGGGCTGTGATCTTTTCTTTGTTAAGGTTCTTTCTTTCTTTCTCTTTTTTTTTTTTTTTCTTGTTGTTGTTAAGGTTGTTTCTTGTCGTCCTAAAAATGAGGTGTACATTTTAAGAACAACAAAACTAAAACCTAAAATCAAAGTTAAAAATGTGTTCGTAGCCCTTAAGCGAGCTTGTAATTACAGGTACAGGGTCTAGGCCAGAGGCATAACTTGTGCTGAAAGCATACCATCAAAGATGCTGCAGTCCCTTATGGCATGCACGCCTACCTTTTAAGCCTAGCGGTGTGTTACCACATAAAGCACTTTATTATCTGCAGAGCACGTTTACATGCATTGTAAGTTATTAAAATGGTAAAAACGTTTTTCTCCTCGTAGGTTTTTGTTTATATCTTGCATATGAAATAATGGCACACTAAGCCTGCTGCATTTTGGGTTGAGACAGCTAAGAAAAGATCAAGCAGCAGCTGTGAGGAGGGAGGTGTGTGGGTGGGAGGAGAGGGGCAGGGCATGAGTCATGTGAGTCGTGCTCATCAGTAGCTGCTGA